TAGAAAGGTCGTAAAAGTCGAGTCAAAGTAATTATGCCGGGGAAAAAGGAAGCAAAAGGAGCGAAGTGAAGCCGGGATCCTGGATTCAGGACTCCAGATCCAGGACTCGGGACCCGGGACCTGGGCCATTTAGGTTGTATGCAAGAGTTGTTAAGACAAATACATACAGAGCCACATACACACACACACACTAACCATCCGACGAGAGTTGCGTTAATTGAGTGGGCTGCGCATGTGGGCGGGAATGGTTGATGGAACGTGGACGGGGGGCGTGGCTGAGTGGGCGCGCCAAAGTGGCAGCAGCAGCCGCCGCCTTGCGCCTTCTCCCTTCTGCCTTCTGCCTTCAGCTTTCAACGACGACGGCATCAAGTGGCAAAAGCCGCAGAAGTATGCAACAATTTTCAACTGCCTAGCCGAAAGCGGATTTAAGCCGGGTTCCGCCAGCGTAAAGGTGTAATGAATGTGCCTCGGGCGCTCCAAGCCCACAAATTACAAAAAGGAAAGACGGATGGGCTAATGAAACATGCGGGTGCAAGGTAAACGGAGGAGAACTCTCAGTGGATATGCAAGCGGAATTACGCGAATCCCGGGGTTACTATTTGCATTTGAAGGGGGCCGAGGATAATGGTTAATTTTACTGCGAGCAATAAATTATAGGAATCACGTCTTTAAGTATATAGCTAAGAACTATTGCGCAATCAAGCTCTGCTAGGTTATTATGGTATTCCGTCTTCAGTTTAATTGGTTTTATTGTGTTCTTTTTATCTTTAACCCTTTTTGTTGGATACAGACATAGTATCTTTTAAAAGCAGTTCAAATAATAAAGGATATCTCAGAGCTGAATACACTTTAATAGAATTTCTTCCCTTGATGTATTACCCATCGACATAACAATACCAACAATACAAATTCTCAAATATCCCCTAATTAACCGCAACATTGTCTTACAATATACATTTTGCTAACTGATTTTGCCATCGATCCATCGTCAAGTTAAATTGCCATTTTCAATCGGACTGCAGTAAAGGGTAATGATTACAGCTCGTCTAATTAACTATTGGGCATTAGTTGCATTTGGCGCAATTAGCAGGACTCAGTGCACCGCCAGCGACTTGCCAACCGGCTCAAGGATAAACGGTTGCCAACGCACACAGCTGCACAATGGTGCACACCCACACACACACTCATGCATAAATGCTGCGCACCCTATTGACATTAATTGAATGAACCAATATGGACAGTTAGTTATTGAAACATGTCAGGATGGAAGGGGTGGTGCAGCTATGGTGGTGCAGGCTTGGTGGTGCAGAGTGGGTGGTGCTGGGGCAGTTGGCTAAGCAAACATGTCGTACAGCGCGGCGTGGACCAACGAGAAGAGCAGCCTTCTATGACGAATGTGTGCATGTCGGACGGGCTGCCAACTTGACTCGAACGAAAGAGATCTCGGCATTGGAATTGCATTGACACTTGACATTTGACAGCCCAGAAAAATCCAAAAAATTGTTGTGAAGCGTGCTTCAAATTTGACATATTGGATTCCTGCAAACGAAAGCCGATTTCGATTCGGTAGATCCTTATTTGCCATACCAACTGAAACACCCCCATTTCTCGTTCTTCCTGCCTTTTGTGTGCTTATGCTAATGTGCGTAAAAAGCATGCAAATTTTGCATGGAAAGGAATAAATCTGGGGAAAATTAAAGGCCGGCGATTGAATTGGTTCACATGCTTCGCAGAGTCCCATTTTTTACCCCACTCCACCCATTTCGCTCGCCCCCACTGAGATCCAACCAATGGACATCCTGCGGTGAGAGCTGCCAGGTCCACGATTCATTTCCACGCCGCATATATGAATATAAATGCTGCATCACCATCAGCGCCTTGTTTTTGTTTTTACTGGCCCGCTGCGGTCGGAAAAGCCTCACGCAGAAATTGAGTTATAATATGGCCAGCCAGCCAGTGAAAATGGGAGTGGGTGGGCGGAAAAAAGGCGGCGAAGGCGGAGGACCTCTGCTGCGGTGTCATCCTCGCCGCTTTATGTGCATGTATAGCATACATTTCGGGGCGTGTGCATCATTTAGCCTGTGTTTGCCAGTGGGCGACTGGAAAAATAGCAAAATGGCCAACAAAAGCACGAGCAGCCATGGCTAAATAAACTATGCAAGAAATTTATGCAAATTTTATACAATGCTCAAGCATTTAAAACTGACTACCTAGACGTTTCTACATGGAACGCAGGCGGAGAATGGGTCAAATCGTTTGTGGTCTTGTTGCGTTGGGTTGTCTATCTCCGTGGGGCTTATAGTCATGGCTAAAACTGATTACTTGCCTGGCCAGGAGAAAGGCGACGGCAAATGGGATTCCAAATACTGATTGCAATAAAGCCACAAATTCGTTAGGAATGAGAAAAAAAGGGTGGTTTTGGCTGTGAACGAAAATTACGTCAGAGAAAATATTTTCTGGCCTAGCATCCTTGAAATATTTTTGATTTTTACTTAAGGTGAAAACGCATTTCAGCATGAATTTATTTTTAATAGGATTACTATCAAAAGTGCGATAACTAAAAGTTAGTTAAGAACCAAAGAATATAGAGTGTGTTAGTATTATTTATTTTTGACGTGTGAAATATGGAAACCCCGTAAACGTTTAAATTTGTTTAACTCTGAAGAGCTTGATAAATTTTAAACTTGCCTTATCCAATAATTACTTAACCCCAACAAATGGCCAACAGCTTACTGGCAGTTTTTTCCGCCGCGAAAACAAACTGCCTCAACTTTGTCTTCGATGAACGTTCTCCTCGGGCTTTTCCCGCTGACCAAGTCAAAATATTGCACTGGTCAACTATTGTGAACTGCGGTCAACGGGCCACTCCTTCAGAGCGATGGCTTTTGCGAGTGGAGGAACTCTGAACTCTGGCCCAGCACCTCGATGGCCGCACAGAGTAAACCGCGCTTGCTGCTGCGGTTGCCGGCAATTTGTGTTGCATTGTTTGAAATTTTCGGCAGCGTTCTGAGAGCAGCTGACAGTCCGGCTTCCTACGGCTTTGCGGTGGGTGGTGTTGTTTTTTTCTCCACTCACTGCCGAGATGTTAAAACAAATGTTGCTTTAATGCTGCGGTCTGGCCAGTTGACTGACTGACGTTGCCCCTCCCTTTTCTTTCGGCCTTCATTTCCGGGCAGTAGCAACAGCAGCAGCAGGAGCAGAAATGGCAGTAGCAAACCAATCCTGGCTAATGTGATTGCACAATGGCGTGTTTCCGGCTGCAAGCAAGTCACTCCCAAATTGATTAAAACAAAGGATTTTCTAGGCAGCCCGTCTCGACAATCAAGCCTAATGAAGACATAGAACCAAATTTGCTAGCTCATCCTGACGTAGAGAGGAACTTAGTTAAGCCAAGCTAAAGAGAACGGCTGTCGGACAGGAAGTGAGCTCTGCAATAAACGCCTGTAGGATTAATTGTTTGCATAATCAGGCCTTTGCCAAAGGGGTCCTACTGCTGCCTGGCTGCCTGGCAGCCATCTTGGCTGATTTACGTTGCGTATACGCAATATTTATGGCACCTCCAATTAATTGTGCGTTAGATTATTTAAGCATGCCCCTTGCTTAAGGGCCCTTGCGACCCTCTTGAATTATTAGTAGGCATTAATATTTCAGGGCTCTGGCTTGGCATTAGCATTAAGTTCTCCGACCGTTCTGCACGTGGTATGCCATTTATCGGGTTTTGTTAGTTGGTTGAGGTGAGGGTGACACTTTAAGCCTCCAACGTTGATTGACTGCCGTCCCATCAACGGAGTTTTGGGTACAGCAATTCTCGTGAGCACTCGCACACAAAGCGACAATCGGATCGGATACTATCGGATGCTATTGTGTATACTATGTTTTGTATGTGGCACAGCCATTCTGTTGCAACGATTTATGCGCTCCGCTTGGCATTTGGTTTATCAATCAGCGAACGGTTTCCCTATATGCACACCATATGCACGACTAACCGGCGATATTCATTAATCATGGCTCGTTCCCTGCCCTTGGACGCTTCGCATATATTGATTTTCTTACGACCAGGCCGAAACTGTTGTCCCAAATTAGGGCTCATTCTTTGCTCCTGCATATTCAGCAGTCCCATCTCGCATCATTTATTTCAATCGCTGTGCAACAATGCAACCATTTCCCCGATTTCCATTTAACGCTCACAGCATCCCGCCCAACATTCGCATTGTTTGGCCACGTTGGACATAATTAAAACCGCAAATAGCGCCAGCCAGCATAGCCCGATGCACCATGCACGATGCCCGATGATCGCTGGCCGCAGAATAACGCATAATGCCAGTGCACTGAGCCAACAAACGATGACCAGCATCTATTATCCATTGTCTAGGCCATCAGCCCACCACCGCCATCCATATCCGATGACCACTCCTCAGGCCCAGTTCCGAAAAACCACCGCTGACATGTGAGCCGCGTTCGCCATGTTCACCATGTTCGCCATGTGAGTCGCACAATGCACCTTTCTTGCACATATGCCGCACATCCAGGGCATACAATTTCAACATTGTAATTATGCGCCTGCTGGCAGTTAATTACACTGCACGAAATATGCTATTCGAAAAATCAACATTGGCTAACCACGTATACGCCCCGTTAAACCGTTTATTAGTTTTGGATTTTCATTTGATTTCGCTGGTGCAATAGATTTCACTGCTTCAATTAGCAGAATTAAAATGTTTACCCGAAGGCGGGTGCTGCAGCCACAGCTCACTGAATTTTTCATTTGTTGCGGGCGGCATTTTAAGCCGGCCGTTTGTGGCATTTCTCCATCAGCATTGGATTTTTCCAGTTAATTTTGCCCAAGTAAGAGGCTTAGCGGTACTGTGGGCCGGCTTTAAAGGATCATTAATTTATCGCTGGGGTTGGCACTTGTTTTGCCATTAAACTGTAGCATTTATTTTAAATGTCGGAAAGCATTGGATTGCAACGAATCGGGCGGAACAGAATGGATTTTGCACACCATAGTTAACTCAAAATTTCTATGCATCAGATGAGCGGATAAATAGAGAAAAACAGATGCATTTGCCACTGCTCTTCCTAACAGTTTTTTGTTTATTAAATTATGCATTAGCTGGGGAGAAACTTCTGCATTGTAAGCGTGAATTTGCAATAAAATTATAAAATTTAACTTCGTTGAATTCTCCAGCTTGCCTGAACCAGGACGTGATGTCAAATTGTGTGCCGGTGTGTCCCAAGATCTGCTCGGATTTCCTTTACAAACGCAAGTGCAAGCCAAGGAAATGCCAAAAAGGATGCGCCTGCCCGCACAAATGGTTGCGGCACAGGAACGACCAAGGCCTTTGTATTCCGCGAAACGAGTGCCGTCGATATATCATAGAGTAAAAGTCTTTTCTTAACCCAAACGAATGTTTATTGGTGGCTTTTTCTGACGTTAAAAATGCGAAAATGGGGCCAGAAGAAAGTCTGCCGACAATGGCCAAGATTTGCATTTCTATTTTTCAATTTCTTTTAATTTTCTGGGGCTCTTTCAACAGGCACTTGGCCCCCCATTTCCTATTGCCTTTCTACTCTTTCGCTTCTTCTGCGTGGGATGAATACGGCGCAGTGGATATGTCATGCCCATGTCAGAAATTCTTATTGTGTTGACTTGCATTTGACAACTTAATGAATTTAGCTCTTCCACTCGGGACATACTATGCGCAAGTCTACATAGGCCCCAGATCGTTGGAAGGGCCTTATCTTAACCCCAATACGTGCTGATATTCGGATGCAGGCGGCCCGATATTATATAAGCCCATCGCGAGAGCATTATGAGAAAACTTTTCAAACGAACATAACCCGCAAAAAATGTCCGTTACGTGCTCCATAAAACGTCTGCCAGACCTGACCAAGTCGAACAGCGAAAAATATCTATATGTACACATATTTTAGTGCCCAAATTTCTTTGGGTTTTTTTTTCTTGATAATGTGCAAGTTTTCGGGTTGCGAAAAAAAACTTTTTATTTTTATGCTGTAGCACCAAGAAAAACAAGAACAGCATGAAGCGGAAGCGGTGAGGAAAATGAGGTGGAACGTCAAGTGTTTGGTTCCGAAGTCCTCACGCTCCTGAAAAGGACCGAGTTGTATGTAATTTGGTTTTATGCTTTATCGCTTGCTTGATTTTTATTATGATTATTATCGTGGGAATTACGGTGCAACTTTTGGGAGCCCGTTCCGAAAAAAGTTTCGTGATTGCTGGGGCTCTGAAGAAAAGCCTTTTGTGGGCTTCGTTGAAATTTCTAGAGATTTATTGTGTTAGCATCGGCATTTTCACTTCTTTGCCGCTGCCCAAGATGACAATGCTGATGAGTTTGTGGATAATAAGGAGTGTGTCGGAGTTTTTGATGTCTTGATCTGAGTTTGATGGCTTAATATGTCTGCGATGTGTAGATGGGCAATTGATTATCCTCTTGGAGGCATTGTGTGTATGCATGTTTGGAGGAAGTACTGTAAGCAATTTCCCTAAGTAGCTGATAAATTTATTAAGGTGTTTAAGGAACATTTAATCTTATATCTATCACTCACGCACAGAGACTTAAAGGTTTAACGACACTTACCTAAAAAGAAAAGGAAAAAGAATAAAGGTTAGAGGGGGAATTTCCAGTTTTAGAACTTAAGCTACATATTGTTATACTGTGTGTTTAATTTGATAAAGCAATTTCTTATATTTATTGAAACATATCCGAAATAATCTTATTAGTTTACAAAAAAAAACTCAAACGAAAATCGATTTCTTTGGCAGATAGTTCCACCCGAAACTCCGATTGGCGCAAATCCCATCAATGGATACGCCTCTGGCCCCACAGCTTAGCCTAAACGAGCCGTTTTCCTGGTGGAAACTCAACCCACTATTAAATCCGTAGCATTAAGCCCTCAAAACCATTTTTTGCTTGTTGCAATTGCTATGCAATGTTGGAAAAATCTTCAACCACAAAGGACTCAAAACCGAAAGCAAAACAAAACATCGAGGGTACAGTAAAACCGATGTTAAGCAGAGCGAGTGGTGGAGGAAAAAGGAGGGATTTTCCACCTTTTCCCACCCATACCAGAATTTTTGCCCACACATACATACACAAACATTTATATACTCGTATGTCTGTATGCAAAAAGAGCCTGGCCAACAATGGCGGCAAGTTAAAGCCAAATCGGGGGCCAAGGCGAGAGTTGAGAGGTGAGGTGGCCGCACAAAAGGCCACTAAAGAGACGTAGATGTAGATGCCCCTGTGTGTTCGTTCGGGTAGATATATTTAACAGCAAAGTCAAGCGCTGGCGATGTGCACAGCACAAAATCCAAATTTAATGACCAAGTAAAATAGACAGAAAACGAGAGCACCAGGATACGACAGCCAGGATCCACACATGTCCATGTGTCTGTGTGGGATTGTATAAGTATGGATGTGTGTGTGTGTGTGTGTGTGTATGTTGGCTGGGTGAAAGGGGGTGGGGGCGTGGCTCTAATGTTAGTTGAATGTTTGCCGAGCCTTTGTTATCAGCATGCGTCTTTTTGCAATTGGATATGCCTTTTATGCCTCTGGGCTGTGTTAATGTTGACAGTGCTCGTCGGAGAGCCAAGGACATGACAGGAGTTGCAAAACACATTCCACCCCCTTTCCCCACAGCCATCGTTCGTGTTATGTAGTCCCAAGGAGAGGCCCCAGCAGAAGGACCCTTTCGACCACGGCCTCGGGCCAAAAGGCATCAGCCTCGACATCGCCCCATCGACATCCATACAACTTTTGATGCCTGTCCCGCTCGCTAGTAGTTCATCTCCATCTCTCATCTGTCTGCTCCTCCTCCTGCTTCTCCTCCTCCTGCTTCTCCTCCTCCTCTTCCTCTTCCTCCTGGTCCTGCTCCTTTCCCTGTGCACATTATGGCAAATTATGACATTGACAAGTGGCCAGGAGGTGTCACATTTCTTGGTCGTCATTTTCCTTTCTGCAGCAATTTGTTGCTGGCGTTGTCATACATCAGCCACACATTCACACACTGAGGGGAAAAGAGGTGCCTAAATGTAGCTCTAAGATCTGAATTGTCAAAATAGTTTGCTTTTTAAATTCAAATTTAAAAACACAATTTTTCCGATCAATTTTCTTAGAAGTTATTTAATAAAAGAATTAGATGTACTTTATTTATACAGTTGACACTGGGCTTCTAAAGTTTCTGCGGAGAGCTGTACTTCAACAAAGCCCATTTGTGGTTATAACTTTCAAGCAAAGGCTTTAAAAACATTTTCTTTCGATTCCCAAAGCCATGCATAGTTAACCAGCTTTTATTTTTCTTAGTGCGCAGCCACGACAAGAATATTGGAACTCGGAAAATGTCTTTTTCTGCCCGCAAGTTTGCAAGCAGTTTCTTTCTTTGGGCCAAGTGGCGTAAGTGCACTAGGCTCAGAAACAGAAACTGTTGCATACTTTGTAGCGTCTTTCCACTTGGGCATGTCCTTGCTGTTTGTGCCGTTAAATTTTATTTTCATTACAAATGCGTTTGTTGTTTATGCACTCTATGCGCCAGCTGAATCCGAACTAAAAGTAAGGCAGCCAAACAAAAAGTCTTACCACTTCTCGACTATTTTCACAGTTGTTCTTATTGCTGCTGCTGTTTGTATTTGTTTTTGTTTTTGTATTTGTTTTTGTTTTCTGTTTAGTTTGTTTTTGTTTCACTGGCCACGTTTTTGTTATTGCTGTTGATTTCGTTTTGTTTTGCATTACAAATAACTTTTTTGCACTACGTGCGAGCATTTTAACATTTCAACATTTTCATTGCGTCTCGCAGGGTGAAGTGCTCAAATTTATGCGCATATATTGTTGCGAGAATTCATTCATGCGATTTCAGCTCTCAGTGCTATATAGTTCGTTCCATAGTTCCCCAAAAACCCAGCCAACGCCCCCAAATGCAGTTGATTTCACGATTCATGCATAATTACGGGGATTCGTAGCGCACACAAAATAAAGCAGAGTATGCATAGACATTCTGTATGACCTGCATGTATAAATCAAACGTGGAATTCCAAATGACACCGAAATATTTGTTTCGCATTGGGCGATGTTAATCACGTTTGCTAGATCTAATCCTGGGATTCAAAAACAGCCCCAAGACGAAAATGATAAATGGATTTCCGGCGCTTTGACGGTCATATTTAAATAACTAAATCATGGCTTAGATGCCTAGTTGTCTGAATTTTTTGGCACCATTAAAGAGGATTTAGTTTTTGCAATAAACGTTCATTCTCACACTCAAAAACTTTTGCACTGCTAAAGCTTTTAACACAAAATTTTGGTCCTCTGCAAAGTTTAGGCATTGAAAACCCAAAAATGTTAATGCGACAAAGTGTAAATTGAATTCAAGTGTGTGGGAAAGCTTTGGAATCCTGGATTGTGTCCACCAGCCATTAAGTTTATGTGGGAAGTTCTGACATTTCTTGCCTGGGGTCAATTAAAAGCAATTAAAATTCGAGTTTGGAAATAGGAAAAGTTGCAAAGCTGAAAAATATGCTACATTTTTAGAGCGGAACTTTTTTATAAGCTGCGCGAGACTGCAAAGGGGAATTAAGCCATGACGGAGATTAAAAACGAAGAAATAGAGGGTTCTATTGTTAGCCAAGAAAAGACGATGATGTTGTTGTTATTTAAAGGACTTAAGCGAAAGCAAAACGCACGCCAAAGCTCGGGTACTTTAAAAAACTTTGTTGCGGAGTCAGGATGGAAATTAAAGTGTCGCTCAACATGGCGAATGCTCAACTAAAATCTATATGGTAACTCCAAATTAATAGCCCGCGACTCATTGTCGGAGGAGATGATGATGATGATGAGCTTGCCAGCCAACCAGGCGGTAATTAAAAGATTAATTTTTAATGCGCGCTTAGTAAAAATGCGAATGTACTCTCGTACGTGTGGCTCCATAAAAATAAAAGGATTTGTGAAAACTAGCACATATACAGGCCCTCCCCCACCAACGTTCTCACACATTGTAATTTTATGCCCCAGCTCTCGGGTTTCATCATCATCTGCCAGGGAAGTTTATGAACCATTTTCACTACTCGCAACTCCGCACACCTCGCAAATGCCTCCTCCTTGTTCGGTTTTGTTATTTTCCTTTTGTTTAATTTTTTATTATTTTGCTCTCGGGCTCTCCATTTTAATACACCTTTTTTTTTATAATTTTTGCCGCGCTTGCAGCTGCAAATGAAATGTGTGTGAGCACACCTTTAAATTTTTAATACAGTTTGTCGTCCTCTGATTTTACACTCACTTCACGCGTCCTTCCTGCAGCAGTTGATTAAAAAAACAGCGGACATTGAGAGGAGGCGGCTCGAAAGGATGTCAATTAATAATTGAAGAAGGAAAAAAATAAATAAAATTTACTCCGGTTATGGGTCTCAGTCAAATATAAAAGTGTGAAATATTCAATCAGGAGCAATAATTTATTATTTTCCGTTTGTAATTTATGCAGAAAAACAAGCGGGATTTATTGATGGGCTATAATTTAGAGCAAATAGTTGTGATGGCCAGTAAAGTGGAATGCGATAAAATAAAAAAAAGAATGCAGCTTTCGAAACAATAAATTTTTAAGTATTTCCATAAAACATTTTAAATAAAGTCCACTTAAATGTACTGGCTGCTTTGCCTTCCGCTTTGAGTAAAAACAACATTAATCGCCATTTTCCGCCCATTTTTCTCTCGCTTATCAGCGCTCCTGTTCTGTCAACAAAAATGGCTCCCCCACTCTATCATTCCCTCTGCGTTGTTGGTGGTTCGTGCACTATCATTAATATTTGAAATGCAGAAAAGTTGCCGACACTTTTCCCACTTGTTTTTTGTTTACAATCTCTAGCGACAAAGCGGGCGCATAATTAGCTGTGCAACAAAAACAAATAAAGCACCGGCAAACTAACTTGGACAGCCAATTAGAGGAAAGAGTTAGTGAGCGAAAAGCAGGCAGATAGAAGCCAGTCCGAAAACGTTACTCAACCAAATAAACTTGACAAATTACACGGTTCGTTGCCGAAATACATGTGCAAAATGAGGTACAAGCTGTGACAATTGTTTGTGTCACTTAATTCAAAAACAAATGCGTAGAGGGGGGAAAATTAATTTCCATGAAATAGCAGACTATTGCAATGGTGTTTGGAATAGCATTTTTTAAATATGTTGGAAAACAAAGGTTAAGTATTTTAAAGGAATCTTTTAATTTTACAAATTTTTGTGTAACAATTTTAATTACTTTTTTTCCCAGTGCTGTAATAGTAGAGATTGCAGTGCGTAGGCAGAGATTGCCACACCGTAGGTGACCCATTCACGTAATCGTGCCACGCCCCCTGGCTTTTTGCTGTTTAGCCTTCTGCCCCCGAGTTAACCAAGCGTATGACAAGCCAACATTTCCATCTGGTATTGTTGATGACTTTTCTCCCTTTATTTTTGCCTACCTTTTTTTCTGTACTTTTCCTAGTGACATTGACTGCCTGAACTAATAACCACATGAGCCTAAAGCCTGATTAAACTGCGGTTAATGAGCTCCACCCTAAGCGCCTCGCATGGAAATTAATCCGAAAAGGGGGAAGGGGGTGGTGGTGGTGGTTTCGGTGGGGCAAGCAGGTGTGCGCAGTGGTTCGTTTCAGTTGTCGCAAGGTGTTTTGGCTCACCGCAGAGCACAGGTTTCACCAGCGGCACTGACTTTGGTAATCGAGTGGCTCGCATCTCAAATGTCAACCGCCGAGCACTTGACCTTGCCTTGTGGCGGAGGGCGTTCTAATGTTGCGAAATGAGAAATCTGTCGAATGTTTTTCTCACCCGTTTTCCTCAATTTTTTCATTGCTCTCTACACTTATATACTGAAACTAGTTTACTGTCAAAATTCAATGTAAAATTCAATGTACATTCCTGAATTTTATGTGACAAATTGAGGAGCAGAGCAGCGCGGAAAGTCGAGGGAACCAATAGCATCACCTTGAGATGCCGTCGAAGAAATCAACAAAGACCAGGAAGCACCAGCAAAATCCGTATACGCGGTTCTTTGAAGCCCAGAAATCCCTGCCGCCGAACAAGACCGATAATAATGGCCAAAGGCCAGGCGTCCTAAATCGCGAAAGCGTCTACCTCCTTTCGAATAAGCCGCGTGGCAAGAGGAGACTCGCCACTCGCGAAATTAATCAACCCACCTGGCGGCGACGTGGCGGCGAAGACCACTTCATGGTCGTCACGCAGGATAACACGCAAGAGCCGAAGGACAAGCCTTTGCTGACCGCCTCTCAGCTAGATTCCATTTGCTACGACGTCATTAAGGAGCCGCCAATGCAATTTCACGTGGACGGCACCGACATTGTGCCGAGCATACGTGGCCTTCGGCTGAGTGTCTGCGTGGAGCACACCAGGTTTCAACTGGTGGCCAAGGTGACCAGGAACATGGGATTTCAGCACGTGCCCGAGCATCGGCTGTGGAACATCCAGTGGTCGGACTCCACGCCCCATCACGATCTGCTGCGCAGCATGAAGCGCTTTCAGCAAATCAACCATTTTCCCGGCATGGTGGAAATCTGCCGCAAGGACCTGCTGTCGAGGAACCTGAATCGAATGCTTAAGCTGTTTCCGGGGGACTATCGCATTTTCCCCAAGACCTGGCTGATGCCAACCGAGTGGGTTTCCAATGTTGATTTTACTTTTATTTATGTTCTTTAATTTTATGGATTTTCTTTACTAGTGCCTACGATGTGGCTGTTTATGCCAACAAACACAAGCGCACTTTTATTCTGAAACCCTATTCCGCGGGTCAGGGACGTGGCATTTGGATAACCACTGATCTGCGAACTGTGGGCAAACGAGAGAAGCTCATCTGCCAGACTTACATTGAAAGGGTAAGTTGGGTTGGAGGTAATCATATTTTTCATATTTATAATACTTAATTTACCAAAAGCCCTTACTGATTGATGGCTACAAGTTCGACCTTCGAGTCTATACTCTCGTAACCTCTGTGGATCCCCTTCGCATTTTTGTGTACAATGAGGGACTTGCACGCTTTGCCACCCACAAATATGTGCCACCCACTCTGAGTAATAGCCACAATGTGTTCATGCACCTTACGAACTACTGCTTAAATCGCCGGAACTCGCAGTACATGGTGGGAAACGGACCGGAAGCTGGATCCAAACGGAAATTGAGTGCCTTCAACAAATGGCTGGTGGATCACAACTACGATGTGGCCGAGTTCTGGGCCAGTGTGGATGATGCGATCATCAAGACGTTAATCAGCGCCTGGCCCACATTGAAGCACAATTATAATGTTTGCTTTCCAAAGCACGATAAAATACAGGCCAGCTTCCAGCTGCTCGGATTTGATATCCTGGTGGACTGGAAGCTGAAGCCCTACATCCTGGAGGTGAATCACACGCCCAGCTTGTGCGCAGATGAGTCGGTGGACATGGAAGTGAAGCGTCCACTTATTAGAGATACCTTGAACATGCTCAGCACAGCTTTGGTGGACAAGGAACAGATCATACGAGACGATCGAACAGAGCATAGAGCTAGATTACTTAGGAATATCTACAATAAGAAGGCGGCTGCCCAAATGCCCGGATATTCCTCACCGATTCGAGAAGCTGCTGGCAGCGATGTGCGGCAAGCCTGCTCCATTGGGGCACTCACCCAGCAAATTGCCTGGGAGGAGAGTCATTTGGGAAACTATCGTCGCATAATGCCGCCAAGAGATTCGGAGAAGGTCAATTACTACTGCAAGTTCTACGAGCAGAACAAGCAGCCCATGTTTGCAGACACACTTTCTAGTCGACGCCGCGAGGAACATAACCATCAGGTGGGTTTATCAAAACTATATTTTATTTTAGGAAATAAATTTTGTAGTTTTCTATAAGAAATATTTTCATATTTCAAAATGTACTTATAATTTTTTATAACCATTTTAGGCAAGGTTAAAGCACCAACGCGAGCGCCAAGAGCAACTTCATCCGCAGCAGCTGAATTCTCCAAATCGAGGGGTGAAGCATGTCCGTTGGCCAGGATATCAGACGGATGCAACCGAGGTAAATCCGGTGATCCTGCAGTCAAGAAGGCGTCGTGAGGAGGCGGAGGCCCAGGCGAAAAAGCACCGAGCTTTGATTGCTCGAGAAATTCAACGCCAAAAGGAGCAACTTTTGGCACCAACCTGCGCCAAGGAGCGTTTAGGTATTTGGCAGAGTGTTCGGCGGGAAAAGATCCGAAAGTTTTCACCCAAACGGACCTGCAGCATAACCAAGGCCAATCGCAGAAAGCATCAGAGACATCTTAGTCAGAAAGTCCGGCATCAGAGGATGCTCGAAATAGAGGCTCAACGAGATGCCAAGTTCTTAGAAAAACACGCCAAAATGCAAAGACTTGAAGGCGGCAGGATTGCAAGGCCAAGTGAATCGTCAGGGACGAAAACCAGGATCAGTATGAAAAGGAAGTCAAACACCAAAAATAAAACTAAATCCAAAGTCAGGGTGCCGCACAAAAAAGAGGTACTTCGAGAAATCAACCATAGTATTCAAAACGAATCGCTGGGACAACCAAATTCAAAATCCGAAATCCAAAAATCCACAAACTGGGTAGCAGGCACAATCAGTGAAGTAGAAAGGAGTGAAGAACTCAGCTGGCGAACGGAAAGAACAAATCAGCTGAATAGTTCAAGGGTCAGGGAATTGGTAAGTCAAGATATATACTATACTATCAATCGAAATTTCCAACTTTCAATCTACGATCTCCCGCAGATCTTCTCCAAAATGTACGAAAACGGACACCTGACCAAAAATGATATCAAATGTTTTCCGGATCTCCTTTATGGTATTCTCAGCAAAGATTACAAGGAAGCGGATAGTCAATAGATGTGCATTGTATATCAGCAAAATGTATTTGCAATAATTGATTTGTATAGCCAACTTCATGTTGAAATTAAAAGTAACAAGTTTATACTTTTTAATAATCAACTTTTTTCTAGGTAAGAGGGAACCAATCAAAGTTCAATAGGCCTCACACATCGTAATCTGTTGTTTTGCATATTCACATAAAGCCAACTTTATGCGCGATTTTTTGTCACAAACGGCGGCAAACATAAAAGAAACTCGTAAAATATGGCAGTGGGTGCTGAAATCGGGAATATGAGTATGAGTATAGGTATGGTGAAGAGAACGGGAACCTCATCGATTTGTCAAGCTTGCATAAAAAAGAGATGAAAAAGGCCCCGCAGGAAGCTATATCTATCATTATCTCGACACCAAGAGAAATCTTTTGAAATGAAGTTGTTAAACTTAAGTTTCAAACTAAAAGAAAAGTTTGACAAAGCCTGGACAAAAGCATTAACAAATCTTTTGTTTAGAAGAGTTTTTAAAGTTTATTCCCTGGCATTCGAATTTTTATCCAAACAGGCTTTTCGAGAATGACACGGATTCGGATAGAGTTTTTCCCTCAGTGGACGCTCTCCTCTTTTTTGCCGTAGTTCCATTTGCCAAGCATCTTTGCCATCTTTGATGGGCGCATGCATAAACAAAATGCAATACAATACGCGGCATGGGAGCCGTACAACGTGCATTATTGAAAACCTCGGTTGCCACAAGCCACGCCCCCCTGTTTGGCAATGCCTCCATATCCCCACCGTGTTTTTTGTTTTTGTTTTTTTTTTTTGCCATCCTTATCCATCCGGTGCTCTCCTTCTTGCCAGCCTGAAAAGGAAGGCGCTGGGCTGGGCTTTGGTTTGGGTTTGGGTTTAGGTCTACGGCTTTGGCTTTGGCTACAGCTTCGGCTTCGGCTTTTTGCCGTCACCGCATGTCCTTCGCCGTGCCCCCAGGACCACCGTGGCATCGTGCCACCCAGCTAACTCGTTGGCTTTTGCCAGGCTACGCATTATGGTCTGCTGGATGCTAGATGCTGCATGCTCCTGCTGCTCCTGCTGCATGTGTCACATATTGCAAAAGCTGCAGCTGCCGTTACACATTCCTGGGCTTTAGCTTATGGCTGACTGCTGCTGCATTTTGCCTTAGTTTTTTTTCCCCGCTTTTTTCTTTTTTTTTTTTTTTTTTTCTTTGCCAACAAAGTCGAACAGCGTTCTGATAAGCCGCTTCAAAGAGGGTTTTACATATGCCGCCTCTTCTGGGGTCGGTTGCATTTGCATTGTGGCTGCTGCTGCGCCTTCTGGCCTCCGTGCTGCATGCCCCATGCACCATGCTAATACATTATTGAACATTGTTGCCCTTCGTTGGTGTCAGCTAATACCCGTCGCCGTTGCAACTTTTATTGCATTTCTTTTCTCCAGCAACTCTTCAACTTTAACATGTTGTGGCCTGTGCTGCAGAGTGTTTGGCTGCACAACTTTATCATCCATCTATCATCTGCTCTATTTTTTTTTTGCTAGTGCCTTTTTTTTTTTTTTGTGTTGGCCACTTTGCCTGCACACATATGTGTGCAGAGGCAAATTTCCTTTGATGCTTTTAGTGTCTTCTTATTAAAAAGTTTTTAATCTTATCCCGAAAGCTTTTTGTTCCATGTGGATAAGCGGCATTGCCGCATTGCCCCCTTTGCTGCGGAAATGGGCCAGATCTGGAAAAGTTTTGACTCGCAGCTCACTTTTCTCTTTTCGGCATGTGTGGAACTGGAGGAGGAGGAGGAGTGGCAGTGGGCGTCTGCATTGTTGACAGAAGTTCCGGATGCTATTAGAGGTCGTTTAGTTTGCGATTAGTTAAGCCAAAGCTAGTTGGAGCGTGTGATGGAGCGTTCCTCGCCGACGAACGTGCCCAGCCCAAGTTTTCCGAAAACTTTCCGGAAGCAGTTTTCTTTCGGCCAGGCTTCTTTTGAGTGTTTCAGTGGGGTTGGAAATTGCATTTGGCAAAGGCACATATAAATTCTCTTTTATATAGTCAAGTAAAGTTCTTTATAATTTACAGTTCAAGTCTGATTCAAAAATATTTTTAAATTTTCATTAAAGAAAATCCTTGAAACCCATTCGCCTAAGAGAACGAAACATGTTTTATAGTTCTTTAAGTTAATTGGTAAATCCACGTGATCCCAACGCGTTTAATGAAGCCTGCCTGCTGATGTCCTTAAATCATTCTCCTTATGACACAGGAAATGCTTTTAATCCGATTTGCAGTATCGTTAATGGCGGAATGCAGCCCGATATGAAAACGATGAAACAGATATTGTTTCGCACTGCCAGAAGCTTTTAATTTGTGTCTCATAACGCGAACGGAGAAGACGGAGAATTGTAAAGAGAATTGCTTAATTCCCGAACAAACACGATTCTCCATGGCGATGACTTAAGTCAGCAGAAAGATTTATTTCCGTTGGAAAAGCTCGGAGAGGCTGAATGCGAATGCGAATATAAATCCAGTCGGTCGGACTTTACGACAATGGAACCTGCGAAAAGTCATTCAGTCGGACGGACTGAACGGAAAATCCTGCTGCACCAGGCAACAGAGGCAGCCATTTTGTCGGATGCGAATTAACATGTCTGGGCTTTCTGGCTTTATCCACACTCACACTCACACACACAAACAGGCACACACACAGAAGGGAAACGCACAGACACACCGATGCAACTGCTGGCCCAAAATAATTTTCAGTTTTGTAGTTTTTATACTGCATGTTTTCCACTTCACAGGATTTTATGTTCCACTACGCTCGCACTTGGCTCAAGTGTTGGAAAATACAATTGCCTCGGCACACACACTTTTTTTTCCAGTTAAGGCGGGAAAGAGAAAGAAGTAGAGTGGAGTGGAGTGAAAGAGAGAGGGCGAACATTTCCGCATTTTTGTTTTCCTTGGCTTTGTTGTAGTCCTGCGCCGCCAAATGTTTTTGCCTTTACGAAAAAGACAATAAACTGTGCCAGTGTGCGTTCCTAGTTTTCGTGCAGTTGTAGAAGTGTCTACCCTATATAGCCGGGATATAGGACGACACGGGTTTGAGAAATGGGTCTCAGCAAAAAGCCTCTTGATCCACATTTGAAGGGAGTAACTTTGCTTTCTACAACCTATTTTCACTTACTACAGTTGATCCTTAATGGTACTATTGCAAACTGTGTAATGTATTTTTATTTTCGATCGTTATTATAAGCAAAAAAAAAACTTGCTCTAACATGTATCTTATAACTCAAAGAATTATAAAAAGACCAGGAGAATCGCAAAATTCTTATTTCTTTTTAACCGAAATGCTGATAGAATATTTGGTTTTAATTACTAACAATCAATATTATTTCTCACGTTCTGTGATTTCCCCAAAATGAATTTTCTTGCGTACACAAGTGGAAATTCGTTTAGGAAGAGTACAAAAATATCTAGGGTCCCAGTTTCAGTTTCAGTTTCTGTTTCGGCCTTTGTATCTTTGTGTGTAAATGCGTTTGTAGCCGATGTGGGCGTGCTTCGCACGTTATTTAGCCTCCAGTACACTTGAGTACTTTATGCATTTTTTATTTTTTGTCGGTGCATTGTGTCGTTTTTCTCTCCTCTTATAATTGTTGCTGTTGACGTAGCAGGTTGTTGCTCGCCTAACAATGCACTTGGTCTAAACACTCATCCAAATCCCGGCCCATCTGCTCTTCCCACTTATTGTTGTTATTGTTATTGTTGTTGTTGGCTCTCTGCCCCGGTTAAGGACACTCACTTTCTGGCCATTTTGTAGCTAAAATGTATCAAATTCTGTGATAAGACCGAACATACCACAAAGCCAGATGCAATCAACACTCGTCTGCTGCCTGCTAAGCTACAAAAACATTCGAGCCAAAGGCGACAGTGTGGCAAATAACTGTTTTCTTATCCCCAGCACACATGTCTGAAAACTCCGCTCGAGTGTGTGACAAGTTTTCCAACTGCTACAAAACAAATTGCATTGGATTTTATTTTATTTTCTCCGATTTCTTGCCCAAAATAAAAAAATAAAAATAGAAAAATGGGAAATAGAAGAGATCTCCCTTCGTACATTTCGCCGTACTAAGTAGCTGGAGGACATATGGATAATATCGTCATATAATATAATGTTTGTATGGGAAAGAGGAGGCTGCAGAGAGAAAGAGTAAAATATAGATATATATTGCTGTGTGTACTTACAACTGTGATGGGATAGAAGGGATTTATGATGGTGAAGAGTAGAATGTGATTTGGCCGTGTAGTCTCGGGACGCTTTCTCCGTAGGTCGTCATTTGACTTGTTCATAAGTGCTTGCTGCTGGTTCTGTTGTTGTGTGGACTGTAAAAATATGTACACAAACACATATACGGATAAGTATCGGGCTTTGTGGTGACGAAGAGTATAACAACAGATTTATCAATATATAGTAAATAAGCCTGGCCTTTTTCGTGGCCTATGCGAGTGTTCAGCATGTGCATATTCGTGTTTATTTAAGTTTATTATTCTGCTCTTGTGTTATTTGCTCAAAAATTCAGATTGGTTAAGAGATTACTTCTAGCCAGCTCACTTTGAATAACTTATATCCTAAGACAATAAAACCTGAACAACAAATCATTTATCTATATTCCTTACATGACCATATGATATTCAGGCTTCATTTTATAAAAATCATTTAAACCAGTTTACTTTTAATTGACTTGCAATGATCAGCAATAAACTGTGCAATTAAAACAAATTATCGACATACTGCAATTGTGGAAATATTTACTTTGTATCCAATCGAAAATCAAAGGAATTAATTTTTTGCATTTGTGAAGTAATTGAAACCAATTCATTTGTTTCTTTAGTACATTCAATTTTCATTAATCTAATCTGACATTTATTTGTGGTTTAGTATTATGCTATTGGTGTGGACCAAACTAAATTTAAACAAAATTTTTTATTTCTAATAATTACAGTGTGAAGAGTAATTACAGTTTGTGACCATAATCAATTCGTTTCAAAATTGGAAAAGAGAACCTTCTAATTTCGCTATGCCCCTGAAAATAATTACCACTACCCAGATACTTTATCGCAATTGATCAATCTCTTATGTAAAACCAAACGAATTGATTTTCTGCACTAATGGCACAATTTAAGCCAATGCAAAAACACATTTCCTATGGCTGAGTGCAAAAATTTAAGTCAACGCAAAGTTTGCGCAATTTTTTCACGTTAATTGACGCTGTCATGGGGATATGTTGAATGCTCAATGTTGAATATTGTGGAAAAGGCAGCAGCAGCAGGGTTAAAACAAACCAGAATTTTTGGTTCGGTTGCAAACATAATTTGCGTTTTGTTTTCGGTTAGCTGATTTTTTCAAAATAAATTACGAAATTTAGGTGAACCATGTTTATGTCACGTTCGAATGTCAATCAGCGGCGACAACTGCCGTGAATTTAAATCTTTCGAATTTTTCCCACAAGTGGGCAGGTGTATGGACTACTTGGTCTTGACACCAAAAACGCCGTCGATGGCTGCACTAATTAACTCGGTACTTAGGAGGTGGTAGAACTTGGATAATTTCTAATCATTACACGGGTTTTCCACCTTGACATTTTCCCAACTTTTCCAACAGTTTGTTCGCTCGATTTTCCACTCGCCTTTCCTCCGCTTACACAAGTTGAACATGTCACTGTCGCTGTTCGCAATCCGCCAACTACTAATTACTATTAGAGTTAATTAACTTTTACCGAAGTTGCGATTCAGTCTCTGCAATTATTTCATTGCCATCTTTGCGCACTTTAAACAGTTCGCTTTGATGCATTTTGCGTAAAATTAAAGGAGTGGATTCCACTTGGTGCCCGCACTTAACCCTATTTTTATACTATTCTGCCGCCTGTTGCTACCTGAGGCTTTTGTTTCCATTGCCTGACTTTTGCAATTAGGTTAATGGTTCGCTTTTGTGACGTATTTTTAGATGCTTGTGCAATTTCTGTATACGTATAATAAATACAAATATGTAAACATTAAGTCAAACGCTGAACTCGGAGGTAACTGCTGACCTTAGCTATATATTTGCAATTGAGTAGAATAATAAAATGAAGAGAGAAAACGAAAAAGTTGAGGTTTTACAAAATGTTGTGGATAGATAAAAAGACAGATTACATCGCAAGATTCTTAAATGCCTGGGGTTTCCTTTCAACATCCAATTTAAATAAATACATAAATGCAAATCAATTTTAATGACTTCCCCGCAGCCATCAATTGATCATTTGGCAACATCATTATCGGTCTGGCAGCATCCAGAAAGTGTGTAATCCAATACCAAAAACGAACCGACAGTTTCCTGCCACAACGTCGTCCTTGTCTCATCCAAGGGTTAATTCAAATTTCAACAACTTTGACGCATACAAAGCGATTTGTGTGAAAATCCGAGGAAAAGAAAATAAAACAAAGAGCTAAGCGGCCTGCCAGCAGGGGCAAACATTTGTTTTCTGTCAAATTTGCCTTTAATAATAATACACCATCAACATTTTTCTTTTCCCTCACCTCTCCACTCTACCTATCCCAATTTTTCAATGATTTTTTTTTAAGTTTCTACCCCCGCACAAGTAGGGAAAACTGTTGATTAAATTTCATAAAAAAGAGCAACAAAACTCGATACTAAAATGATTGATTGACGGATGGATGGCTAGATAGATGGATGGATGAGCGGTTTGTTTGGGGGGATTGGGTCTAAGTGCATTGAGCCCGTAGAAGAAGAACTGTACAATTTGCGTTGGCCTGTCGGTTGATTTGTATCTCTCCCATTTATTTTTCCCTCTTTTTTTTTATTTAGATTTCGTTTTTATTTTTGGTTAAAAACATTTGAAACATTTTTAGCACAGCGACGGACAAATTGAAAATAGCCTGCAGACGAGCTGCAGCGGTGTGCCAGTGTCGCTGCTGCATACCGCAACGCATTTCAGCTCGAACCGCAACGAAATGAAGATGAATTACCCACAAAATTTCACCACAACAACTACATCGCAGCGTCGGTCGGTCCATGCAAATTGCGAATTGCAAATCACAAATAAATTTTGCTTCGAGAAATTTGCACTCAGTCGATCAAGCGGTCGCTGCCGCTATAAAGTGCAGCCTCAGCCAGCGACATCCACCAGATACATAGATACAGATACAAGTGCACAATATAAATGCGTTTGCCAAGAAATCCACGCAAAGCCCAAACGAAAAAAATACGAAAAAAAAATAAAAAAAAAGGAAAAGCCAAATACAAAAATCAGAGAGAGAAAAAGAAAACGATGTGTCGCCGTCATGAAGATGAAGATGAAGAAATTGCCGCTGGGTTGAGTCGCAATCGCAATGAACTGCAAGTTTCAGAATCTCAGATAAAGAATCGAGGTAGTAAAAATAGCAAGAAATATAGCCAGATTCAGGCAGACAGACAGTCAGAAGGAGAGTGACAGTCTGGGAGACAGACAATTGAAGTATGCATTGGCGTTGGCCAAATGGTCCTCGCCAGGATTTTTCAAACTGAAATATGCAACGCAAAGTTTGCACAGAGCAAATGCAACAGATTGATCAAGAAATCTTCACAGCATAATTTCGCCCTCCAATCTAGACCATTAAATCTGGTTAAGGTATTAAGGGGTTGGATTATAGGTTCGATAATCTGTTGCACTTAAAAAACTGGAAGATAGAAGCCCGAATGACCGAAGCTAAACCCGCTTGACTTGTATAATAATAATTGAAAGCGTTTCCCAACTGTTTATAATTTATGCTTCTAATCGTAACAATAACCAATAAGAAATCATTTTTAAAGCGAAGATAATGACTTTGTTTAACTCTTCTTTGATGCTGCACAAATTAAAATCTGGCTTAAATAACGACTTCATTTTCCCCGGGTTGGACAAATAAATAAACAGATTTACAATGTAATCGCCACGCTACTCTCGCATTTGGAATTAGACAAGATGATCCATTTGCAGCATTTGCTCGGCTCATTTGCTGACGTCCAATGTCCCAGGTAGCTAATCAAAAACTTCGCCAACAGGCCCAGAACTGTCCGTCTCCGTAGCCGGCATCCATATGCCGGTGTCCTTCATTTCTGGGGGACCTCATCATCGTCTTCGCATCGCAATCCCTGCCTTCGGGCCAAAATGAAAATAAAGAAACGAAACGAAAAGGAAAAAGAGTGAAATGCCGAGCAGAGGGAAATGTCTGGCGACAGCAACATGAGGCGGCATTTGTTACTCGCAATTAGATGCACTGTATTTTGCCATCAGACGGGCGCACTCCCGGCGATTTTCCAACCCGCCCAAGGCCCCTTGTTCTGGTTGTTCTTGTTGCTTTTGGTAGCGAACACGGCAAGACGAGACGAGTCGAGACGAAGGAACGCGAATGTCGAATGAAAATTGCACATAAAATGCAATTTACAAAATGTTTTTTTCAACGTTTGCGTTGCGAAATTTAATTAAAACAGCAGCCACAACAACCACAATGAAATTAAATGCTGCAGATCAGTGAGCGACAAGAGCGAGTGCCAGATCCTCGGTTTGGGCCAGCCCAAGTAAAAACATCAAAAAGTCCAAGTCAAGTGGTCCAACATCAAAACGGGCAAAAAGGCGCACACAGAAATGATCGAGAGCAGCAAATACACGGCATCAGCGAAATGGATTTACAAAAATGCCATCGAAACAATGTGTAAGTTATAAACAGGCTAGCCGCACTGCATTTGTATCTGCGCGATACATTTTGAAACGGTCTACGCTACTTGGGCGGCAATCAATCATTTTGGCAAAGACAAACCTTTTAAACTATATAATATATATTGGATCGCCCGCACACCCCCCGATGGCATGCTATTGGCATTGCTCATCGGCGTCATCATCATCATCACCACATCGAAATTCTGCGGTGGCAAACGTCAGAGATACATTCTCAAGAATGACATAAGTACTCAGTAAACACATTTGTACGTTTTCGTATCTGTATCTGATTTGTTCCCCAAACTGTGGCGTTCTGGCGATCTTTTGGTAACATACGGCAATTGCTCTACTCGGTTCAGTTCTCGGTTCTATATATTCAGCACTGGCCATTTGGCCAGATCTCTTATCTCAGTTAGCAACGCTCATTAGTCACAGCGGGTGGTGGCATTTTGTATCTGGGGGGCAGGGCAACAGCACGTGGAGCATTGAAAATTGTCATTAGTTCGGCGTTTGATTTTTCCGTGCCGGTGCTCGTTTTCTTTCCCCTTTTTAGCTGACGTGTACGGCGAACAATATGGGAAAAGTAAATTGCATGTGCTTCGCTTTCTAATGATTTTCAATTAGAACCTGTGGGCCACATTATAAGAT